TTCAATATAATAATGGGGTGATTGTTATTAGTTTTTTATTAAAAAATAAAATAATATAATAAACAGGAATGTATTACCACTGTACGAATATAACTATTAATAAAATGACTATTATTTTATAGACTATTATATTTTATTCAATATTATGTTTTTATTATTAATAGTGTAATAATTCAATTTCAGTTTTTAAAATACCCATTTTTTCAAGAAAATAAAAATAAGTTAATTAAGTATTAATAGATTTTTCATATATTCTTCCTAGTTTAGAGGAGATTAATCCCTGAGCTGTTTTAAAAAAAAGTAATCTTTTTGTTTAACCTATCATTTATGTTTTTTCTTGCAAAATGAGGAAAGCACTTCTTTGTTTTATTTTTCCTTTTAATGTCTTCTCATCCTTCTTCTGCTTATTTCTTCTTTTTAACCTTTTGTTTATTTTCTGTCTTAATTTTAAACATTTTCTTTTTCCTTTTTTCTTTATTTTATGAATGAGAGAAGAGAGTATTTCATTCCCACTATATTATTATGTTTAATTTTCTTTTAGTCTTACCCACACTTTAGTAGATTCTTATATTACACCATGTAATATTCTATCATAATATCTTGCTACACCCTTTGCAACATTCCCTAATACATTCCTAATTCAAATACACCGTCATAACCAGATAATTACCATTAAAAGTTGAAGTTTTAATTATATTAATGTTTGTGTGTAGTGTTTCAGACATGTTACCTTCGATATTTCAATTTTTAACAAGACAAATAAATAACATCAGAATTTCAAAAAAATAATAAACCTATACAAACTATAATACTCTTTTCTGATATATCTTTATCATTCTGATATATAAAAATAAATAATTATCTACTTAACTTTTAAGAGAATGTGCTTCTCAATTAAATAAAATAAATGATGTTAAATATGAAATGTCATAACACAATATAATATAAAAATTAATCAACCAAAGTAAATTCTTCCTCCTTCAGGTTTTTATTTTTTGATTTATATTAAAGTTAGAAAGTAAACAAGTATAAAAGAAATGAAATTATGTCAAAGAGTTATGTTTTTCACTATTTATAAAATTGGCAGAGTTGAATTTATTCTACAAAAGAAAAAAAAATAATTATAAAAATAATTTTTGAATTTTTAAGTATAAATTAAATTAATTAATTCATAGTTTAAAAAGAATATAAATAATAAAATAAACTTCTTATTTAATTATGAAAGCGTAATTAAAAAATTCAAAGAAAAATCATTATTTGAGGAATAACTATTTAAAATCTAAAAATCATTAGAATTTTAGTTTATTTTTAGTTACAGTTATTTATTTAACCTAGATGATAACTATCTTTTCATTAAAGATATGGCAAAAAGAATAGATAAAGTTACAACAACTCCAAAGGAAATATCCCCCGCTGAAACTAAAATGAATTCGACAAATACAAGAAGAATGTATATATTAGCTGGGTGTTACTACTTGATAACAAAAGGATGGTCATTTCTTATTTCAAAAGAACAAAGAAGAGCGGAAAAGTTACACCACTTCTTCCCTATTCAAAAGATATGGAACGAAAATAAAGTAATAATATTGGATAAAGAGTTTGAGTATGAAGTAGTTCAAGAAGGGAAAGAAGCCAAATTAAAATTTGATAAAGAAGGAATTCCAATAAAGAAAGAAGTAACTGAGAAAAGTGGAAAACAAAATAAGAAGAAATTAGTTTACAATGAACTTGTTGTTATGAACATCATTAATGAATGTTATCTTAAATACAATGAACTTGGGAGTGATAATAGTTTGGCACACACAAAAGTATCAAAAAATACAATTAGTAGTCAACAATATACAAAACTTCCATTAGTAAAGAAAGATGGGAAATGTATTGGTATATTTAATAAAATAGAAGTATTAAATACAACAGGAATTCAAGTATATGACTTTTTGTGTCAATATCTCAAAAAAGAAAAAAGTTCTGAAAAAGAAAAAGATTCTCAAACAAAAAAAGAAAAAGACTCTCAAACAAAGTATGAAAGTGTTTTTATTGGGGACAAAGATTGTTTAAATGAAACATCATATGGAAACCTTCTTTTGCTTTCAAAAGAAAAATTCTTGGATCAAGCTATTGATGAAAGTAAATTCAAATGTCTTGATAACCAAGTTAGTTCATCATCTCAACAATTAAATGAAGGTGTTAAAATTCTACAACCACAATCTCCTACTAACATTAGTAGCTCAATGGAAGATAACCTATTATATAACGATATAGGTTCTCCTTTATTTGAGTATCAAAGTACAGTAGCTAATTGTAGTTCATTATCAGTTAAAATAAGTGTAGCACTTCCTGCTAATTTTAGGGAAATGCTTTCTCAAATTGAATGTTTAAGTAAAAATGGAGTTATTACACAAAATAATGAATCTGAGTCATGCGTTGATATAAATAGATATGAAAATAATGAAGAATACTTACAAATCGATCATCAATCCGACATGGGATTTAAAGAATATGGATTTGTTCAAGACATGTGCCACTAATTTTGAATCTATTCATATTTTTTAGGTAATTTTTTAGTTCATTTTATGAAGAATTTCAAAAAACATTAAATTTATTTTAATTTTGTGTGAAAAAGTCAATTAATAGAATATCTACAATTAGATTTACTTCAAATTGAGAAGTGAGTATTTGAGCTTCTTCAATAAAGAGTATTAGTGATGTAGAGTTTAATGCAAACAAATGAGAGTTAGAATGTTCATCATCGGATATATCACAAGAAATGAGATGAAAAGAAAGACAAAAAAGAAAATTGTGGGATAAATTACAAAAAAAGAAAAAACAAGAAATAGAAAGAAGAAATGGAAGAAAAAACCCTTTAAAAAAACAACAGAAATAAAAACAACTGAAAAGCAAAAGAGAGAAGTGAGGAATGAGACCTTTAACTGATGAAGAAACAAAATCATTTTTTGAGAAACTAGCGAAGTACATTGGCAGAAACATTCGATTTTTAATAGACAACGAAAATGAAGAGTATTGTTTTAGATTACAAAAGGATAGAGTTTATTATGTGAGACTTAGTATTGCAGAACAAGCTACCACAATTGGAAGAGAGAATTTATTATCACTTGGCACATGTTTTGGGAAATTCACTAAAACAGGGAAATTTAAACTTCACATAACTGCATTACCTTATTTAGCACAATATTGTTCATGTAAAATATGGGTAAAACCAGAAGCAGAAACATCATTTTTATATGGAAATCATTTAGTCAAAAACGGAATAAGTAAAATAACAGACAACATGGCAAGAAACATAGGATGTGTTATGTTTAATGAAAATGATATTGCAATTGGATTTGGAACAACAGCATGTTCTTCAGTTGAATATTCTCGATTAAGTGCAACAGGGATTGTCTGTTATAATCAAGGAGATTTAGGAGAATATTTAAGAGAAGAAGATACAATGATGGTTCAGAATTAAATAAGAAAAAGTGATAAATAACAATCTTGAATGAAAAACAATTTTATTTTTGTTAAATTTTTTTATGTTTTGTTTTTTCATTATTTTAATTTTCTGGTTTTCTTTTCTTAAATAAAAATTACTTATTTTATTTTTTTATTGAATAGATAAATCAAAATAAATTCATCACCATCTTTTATTTTAAAAATACTTGTTTATAAAGAATGGAACAACCTCAACACAATTCACTTAGTATGATAGAACAATTACTAAATAAGAATAGCAGTAATTCTATTAGTACTATTGAAGAAAAAGAAGAAATACAAGATAACCAAAAAGAAATACAGGAAGAAAAGGAAGAAAAAACTGAAGATATAGAAAAATCAACGAAAGAAACAGGCAAAACCAATTTGAATGTTTGATTTGTCTTGACACAGCACAAAATGCAGTTGTTATACAATGTGGACATATGTTTTGTTGGGAATGTTTATGGGAATGGCTTACTCGACAAGGGAAATGCTCTGTTTGTAAGTCAAAAGTTACAGTTGATTCAGTTATTCCAATATACAATTCTACAACCACAAACAACCCACGCAGAGCGCCTCATCCTCAAGGATATTATACTCAACCACCACTTGCTCTTTACATATGTTGTCTAATGAATAATGGATGATACGAATATTACCTATAGAATAATAACACTGTTGAAGACAAAATATCAGAAAACGTCATTTTTTATCTTTATTTTGTGGGATTAATATTATTTTTTCTTTCAAAATAAGTGGAAAATTAATTATTTCTTTTTGATTGGTTATTTTTCTGTTTAATTAAATCATCTCATATTTTTATAAAAAGTAAATAATAAAGAAAATTAAATATTTTATTATTCTATTTATAAATATCATAGTAATGTTAATTCTCTAATAATTATAATATTCCACATATAATGAATGTTATTATTACTATCTTTTTACTAATGATGTTGAGGATGAAGAAGAATAAGATGGTGTAATGTGTTTTGACATAATTAAGACATGAATAAAAACAATAAAATATACTATAAAATATTTATTATAAAATAATAAATAGATAGAATTAATTCAAAATATTTAAACAAGTTTACACCAGCATTATGATTGAATTAATGATTAGATATAAAAATAAGGTGTTAAAACCAACAGATTATTGTTTTCAATAAAGCACATAATTTATTAGATAAATTAAGCAAGCAAAAAATATATCCTACAACATTTAAATAATTATGAAATAAAGTATAGAAGATAAGAAACAACTGTATAACAAAGTTTTAATGAAAAGGACTAGTTAATTGATATTTTCAAAAGTTTATTTTCTTCTTATTCAGAAGTGATTATTTCAGCTTCAACATTATTTTTTATTTATATTTTACTTTTATTTGATATGATATTCAAATTAAATGATTCTTTTCTATTTTATTATCAGAATTGAAAGTATGAAATATTATATTATTTATGTTTTGATAATATATAATGTCTTCTAATAATGAATGATTAATAAGTAATGTTATTTAAAGAAGTTATGAAAAACACCATTATTTATAAAAATAGGATGAATTTAAAATCATTTGAAATAAAATCACCATATTTTGTAATTAATAAGTGTTTGAATATGTGTCTACACATAATCATGTTTTGGTATTTGATTCTTCTTCATTCAAATATAACAAAAATGTAATTAATATATAGAATAATGTTATTATAACGTTTACAATATTTAAAAGAATCAAATTGAGTAATTGAGAAATATTATTTCAATTCATAATTACTCTTCCATTTTTCTTATTTATAGAAATTCATTTCTTTTATATTCAACAATTTCAATGATATTATTGTTAATTTCTTATATTGAATGTTTCATTTACACTTCTGATATTCTTTTCATCAATTTCATTTAATTATCATTTAAATGTTTATTACAAATTTAAATATTTTCATTATATCATATTAATTCATTTAATTCTATTACATTCATTAATTCATTCATTTAATCTTCTTATTAATTCTTGATTCATTCTTTTAATTATTTAATTTGACTTTCTTTTATTCAATATATCATTTCATTTGTTTCTGTTTTAGTCTTGTTATTTATTTTGATATTATTTACATTTTTGATATGTTTTTTTGATAATTATATTGAAATTATTTTTAAAGTAGTTTTGATGATGAAAATGAATGAAATTATGAGTGAAATAATTCATAGCATTTTATGATGATTATATAGTGTTATTTTCATTATAAAAAATGTTAATATTATACAAATAATTGATATTTCAGACATTCTTCTGTTATTTATAATTGTTTATTGGTATGAATTTCTCTTTCTTTCGTTATGTTTGATTTTGCATAATTTTTCTATTTTTATGATATATATTTTCATTGGCAATGAAAATATTATTGAAATGAATTGAGTGATAATATCATTAAAAATAAATTTGCTTATTTGATAAAAATTGAATATTTTGAAAATTAGTAATACATAAATAATATAATTGTTATTATTGAGATGGATATTGAAAAGTGTGAATATATTAATTTTTTAAATATTAACCCATAAATAAGCTTCTTCTGTTGTTGAATAAATAATAGAAATCAGCTAAGAAATGTTACAAAAAAATGAACTAGAAATAACTATTAAAGAGAATAAATAGTAATATTTCATTTACAGTATCTCTTGTTTTTCAAAGAACTTTATATTTTTTGAGTACGTGTATTTGTTTTATTATTTACTAATAACAACTCATTATTAAATGAAAGGATTTATTACTATCTTTTTTTTCTAATTAAAAAACAACTATTTAAAGTAAACTTCTTTTCTTTATTGTT